AATCTTTATTCTCTAAAAGTTTCTTTTTAAATACCATCCTGATTGTACTCATGGATACAGTATCATCTCTCAGAAGTTATCAGGGGTTTTTATTTTGTTTTGGTTTTCATTTCTTCTACATTACGTCTTCCTCTGACATTTTTCCTATTTGTTTTGGTCACTCTTTCATGTTAAGGCTTTTCAGAAAATGGTCACTAGTCCTAGTTCACTAAAAGCCATTTTGGATGCTTTGCATCTGCAGAGCTTGTTGAAGGATTTCACTGCAAGGTGACCACGTGGAAGCTGCCGAATGTCAGTATCTGCAGATCTTTCTCTCAGACTGGTGACTTTCCCCAGAGAGGAATCTTCCTATTCCCTGCTTGCGGCTATAATCTCAGCTGTTGGGATTCTGGGGTAGGAATGGGAGGGTGTCAGCAATTAGCATGAATTTCCGCTTAATCCCCACTCTCAGCTCCATACCCACCACTGCCCTCAGATTTGCCTGGTAATCCACATAAGATCCTCTCAGGTGTAGCTTTTCCCAGGACTAAAGCTCTAATTTCTGTCAGAGCAGGGGGCAGCTGCGTAGCTGTGCAGGCTCAGGTAAGCAATGGAAGTGAGCTACACATGGGGAGTCTGGGGAGTCGCGTTTAACTTGTTTCCAAGGCCGCTATCTAATCTCTACCCTACGAGGGATCTGTGGTATGTCCTCCTTCTTGTTAGCCTTTCCTCCTGCAGGCATTTACATTTTATATACTCTTCTATGTTTACTGGCTTTCCCGTCTTCCAAAAATTTCTTGAGATCGTTCAAGAACTGAGGTGTACTCTCTCATGCACTTTGTCTTTTTGGGTTTTTATGTTTGTCTATTCCTCACTCTCTCATCATTTGTGTGGCTTTTGGAAGGGAGCAGAGATAAACAAGTTTGTTCACACTGCTACGTTCAATCAGAACGCCTGTACTGTTATTTTTAGGATAGCAAAAAAATTTAAATGTTAATCAAGTATGAAATTCTCTGAGCCAATATCTTATGCAGAATTCCAAATAATCTGTGTAGATACTCCACCCTCACAGAGGTAGAGCTGGGCTGCCTGTATTGACTTCCTTCCAATCTGGAACAGTATGGAAAAGTTCCTTTGGAAGGATAACTTTCTAGTAGAGAAGCCTAATAAAACACTACCTCAGCCCAGTCATCAAGGTCAACATCAACGGTCATAAAGCATACTGACAGCACATGCGGATGGTATGTGATAAAAATGGCATTTTGTCTTGTGTAACCTCCCTCCTCCCCCAAATCTGTAACTCAGTCTAATTATAAGAAAAATACCAAATTCCAGTAGAGGGCATCCTACTATGTACCTGACCAGTACTCCTCAAAACTGTCCAGGCCATCAAAAACAAAAGCCCAGGAAACAGTCACAGTCAAGAGGGGCCTAAGAAAACATGATGACTAAATGTAACATGTGGTATAGAACAGGAAAAGAGAAAAAGACATTAGGTAAAAAATGAGGAAATAGAAATAATGTATGAACTTAATTTTTTTGGATCTGAATAATGTGTTGACATTGGTTCATTAACTGACGGGTACCATACTAAGATGTTAACAGGGGAAATGGGGTGCTGAGTTTATAGAAACTCTGTACTATCTTCACAACTTTTCTGTAAATTTAAAACCTTTCTGAAAAATAATTTTAAATAGTTTTATGAAACCAATGAATGCGGGCAGCTGAATCTATTTACAGAGAAAACAGGATGGGTTTATAGGTTATGAAGGAGTGAATGGAGTTTTTGGGTGTTAGTGATGTGGGTAACATTGGGATTCATCTCAAACTCTGTTTGGGAGTCCTAGACGATAGTTATTCAACAGATCCAGCTCTGGTTCACACAAGCGCGATGAACCATCCTGAATCACTTAGCCCTCCCCATGGTCCCACATAGTGACACCCTGAAAGATCCAGAAGACCCTTCCTTCAGAGGGCATATAATCCACGAATGAAGACATTTAAATAAAACACACAAAAATTTGTGACTATAGCATCTGCCTTGGGTTTAAGACTTTAAAGTGTTCTGTATCTTATTCTGTAAGAATAATTAATCTGGGTGTGTACCTTTTTTCAGGTGAGGAATATTTCTCCTTTCCAAAGATACCTAGACTTGGCGAAAAAAAAAAAAAAAAAGAATTCCTGCTTAGGCATACTTGAAGCGGCAGAACCCATACAAAGATATTACCGAGGCAGGCACTGTCAGGTCAGATAAATTACAGAGGCCACAGTCATCAAAATATGTCTCAGACCCTCAGTGTGAACTGGTTTACACAAAAAGCAAACTGACTCATATATGAAAGGTCCAGAGTTAGAATTTAGCCTTAAATGAAGGTCAATAGCGATGTTCAAACAGAACTGCACTAGTTTACATAAATGGTCCAAATTATAAACAAATCAGCTTTATTTCTTCCACATGTTCTCTAGGAGACTATCGGGTTCATTTTTGTACCACAATGCTTAAAAATGAAGAGGGGCATGGCTGAGGTGCTCCCTTGTCATTTATTAAAACATAAGGCCAAGTAGTTCGAGGTAAAACATAAAACTAAGGGGACAGCACAGGGGTTAGGATGGGAAGTAAGGGAAGGAATCCAAAAAATTTTTTAAAGCATGCGAAGGAAAAGGAGGTCAGATTGCGAGTCTTGGAAAGCTCAGTTTCCTGTGCTGCTCACGGTGTAGCTTTTCCCAACTTTTGTCTCTATCTGCTTCTGACTAGATCTCGTGGGTAATTAAGTCAAAGTGGGCAGATTAAGAGACTTGCTTCTATTCTGGACATCATCCTATTGTTCTGTAATGTAAGGTAATGCCACACCCAGTTTGGAAAAACTTAGATGAGGAAATTAGAAAAAAGATCCCCAAAGTAAGCTTTTTTAAGGAAAAATGAAATTCAAGCACCTGGGTTTTTTTTCCCCTTCACTTGCCAAGTCCATGTGGTTCTAAAGTTAACATTGTTTCAGTCACAGAGATTAGGAGCAGGAGGAAACAATAGGAAACCACTTTGAGACTGGCACTGATGGATCAAAGCTGCCATTTGCCACACTGGTAACAAACGGCATTTGTATTTGCATTATGTTATGTTTTCTCCAGTGAACTTGAATCATCTTTTCATGATACAGTTAACAGTTTTGAAAGCCAGAAACTGACAAGTTTCCAAATTTCATGCCACGTGCTCAGAGTAGATTTCCATTTCTCAGATTTTCACATGATTCAGAGATTGGTCCAGAAGAGCCCAAGGTCAAGTGAACCAATTAACAATTACTTCTCAATCAAGACAACATACATATTTGGGTTCAGGTTAAATCTTAATCCAGGATCCCAGGATGGGTGAGGGGATGAGTGAAGTTATGCAAGGACTTTTCACCTGTGCTGCTTAACGATTTCCTCAACAGTCCTCACTTATCCTATACTGGTGACCTTGCATCATGTTGTTTCTAGTAACATGGTTCAAATCTAAATTCTCATTCACGGGTTTCAGGAAACTTTTGCATGGGATGTGACAGCCATTTTACATGTTGTTTCTACTGAATCGATGAGATTCTCTTCGACAACTAAGACCTCTAAGATACTAGCTATTTACCATTTAAGAAAATAGTTACCTTACTGGTTCCATTTTATTAATCACACACAGGAACATCAATATGGGAATCATTAGTAGATCTACTGGGCATATTATTTATTTGGGCACAGGTTAACATTAGTTTTTATCTGGAACCAACAGTAGAAACTGAGGTTTAGGGCTAGACCTGAGTTTAAACTGTAGTTCTCCTGTTAGCCATGTGGCCTCAGGCAAGTAAAATTTGGATTACTCCTCTCCCCCACCTACCACGTAAGGATGCTATAGTGGAAGTAGCAGAAATGTTTGTAAACTATCAAAGACACTGCATGACACATAGTAGGTGTCATAAAAATGATAGTATTACAACTGCATCCTCGTGCTTCATCTGAAAGCAACTCGCCTCTCCATAACGCTTCATAAAAGAATTAAGTTTTTAAAATGCTGGGAGAGAGAGATATATATAACATGTACATATTACACATGTAATACATATTACACATATATGTAATATATATAATTTATTATTTTTTAAAGATGAGTGGGCCTTGAAATACATAGTATAGACTTCCATTTAGCTAAATTAAAGTTAAGTTACCAATGTTACCTACAATTACCAAAAAGTTAGTAGACTGCGGTATTTTTTACCTTTAAATTTATATAATTGGAGTCACAGTCTTCTACCTCAGGTTTCCAGGAATCAGTTGGGATTTGTCAAGCATCTGCCGAATACTCAGGATCAGGAAGAGTGCAGTGACATGAATTTTCACAGCTGAAGATTACACATTAGATTCAAACGCTAGTAATACGAATGGACTATCCTTTCCTGGTAGTAATCTTCAATTCACGTGATAGTGACATAACGAGGCCCTCATGAACCATGTCTCATTAGCAATGTTAGAAGGCTATCAGGTCTTAAATATGAGAAAAATGGTTTATTTCCCTTGTTTTATTAACACAATCACTAGAACTTCAATCTGAGTGCTTAATTTTCCCTAACAGTTTAGCTATTTCCAAGAAAAACAACCATGTGAAGACTGGCATTACAGATAACAAAATATTATTACCTTGTACTGGCTTCTCTGTAGCAGATGGTTTCAGTAAAAACAGAACTCCCGGCGTGTCTACCCGCTGACCACTTCACACCCACCAACACAGCAAAAGTCTTGGTTTTTGCCTCTCGTGATTATCAAACGAGCAACGCACTTCAAGGGAAGAGCTGCAGCAAGAATCCGGAACCGCAGAACTCCTCACCGCGTTACCGTAAACACAGCATCAGTACAAATACAGGTGACTTTCATTCTCCTCAAATTCTTTTCTTCCAGAACACCTGAAGATTACAAAGTCAACACTTCTACTTTTAAAAAAGAGGTTTGTTGTGTGTGTGTGTGTGTGTGTGTGTTTTTTAAATAACTGTAGTCAGGGCAAGAAAAGGAAAACAGTATCTTTATTGTAAGTGGTTCTAACAAACATTCACTGTGTGCACATTCCAGCAGAAAGAGACAAAGATCTTTGTTCAAAATATGTTGAAATAAAATAGGTAAACAAACTGTATTATTGAATACACAAAAGGAATGTTAATATTACTCATTCACAGTCAAGGGTGAAGTAAAAAGGAAGTCAAATAATCGCAATAATGTTTTGTCAAAGTAGCAAATGTAGAATATAGATGCAGGCAAAGAGCAGCTCCTAAAACTCATGAGGAAGAGGCTACATGTAGGGTGGGTAACTTAAGTTCAGCTCTGCTTCTCAGAACCTTCCTCTGAAATCACCCCATAAGTTCCCCACCGGGCTCTTTCAGAACATGACAGCCCAATGTGACCAAACCCCCTGTTACTCTTGTGATATTTGACAACCAAATAAGATGGTTTAAAAAGAATCAATTTCTTGTTGAGACAAGACATATCTAAATCCATTTCTCCTGGGGAAGGACATAATAAACATTAACATCCTGCATTTTAATTTCCTAAAATGGAATTTAACCAGATAGCTATCACTTGAGATTGCAAGCACGAGATACCATGGGTAATGATACACCTGGCCTGTAAAAAGCATTTTTCATTGCTCCACATGGGAACTAAAGAGTATAAGCTCAACAATGCACTCATTTCACAACATATGCATTTATGACAACTGCTCAGAGAACTTTATAGACTCAAATTATAGGTTCTAATGGGTTTTTGTTTCTGCTTAAGCAGTCACATAAGAACTAAACACAGTATTTTTTGTCTTTACAAATGTAGAAGTTATTTGGAAACTAAACCAATTCTTAAAAGCACAGCGGGCCAGGAAATTTTGGAGACTGGTGCAACCTATTTTGGTGGCACAAATTTCCCCTCATCTTCTTTTGAGATCCCCAGCCCTTATGTGTACAGCAGGGTGTGCAGCAGCAGCTAATCGTGCTTGGGAACAAACCACCAAACACCCCAGAGACCGGTTCTGGGGCCCAGTCAGCCAGCAGGGGCGGACCCCCTCGCTCCAGAGGGGTTTTCATGATCTACCACTATTGAGACTGGTTTGAGAATTCAAGTCTACTTCTTAAAACAGAAGTCCTTTTGGATGGATTTGGCTAACACACTGTATTACTTTATTGTTCAGAAAAATCTCTTCAAACTCTCACACAAGCTCTACCTTTCACCTGGCTGTTTATGTAGGCAGCAGAATAATAGCAAACGGACCCAGAAGTTGTTTTCATAATATAAAGTGACATCACATTAGCAGATCAAAAGAAGCCCTGGGTATTGGATGAATTTCATGGATGGTAGAGACAAAGTCTGAAAATCTTTTCCTCTGGCTCTGAGTAAAAACAAGTCCGGATATAAACAGGAAAAGACAACCAATATGAAATAGAAAAACATGCCTTTTGCATTGGTGTTTACACTAAAAAATATTAAAAACACCAGTTTTACTTGAGACTATCGTTCTTTAATGTTTCTTATAAGCCAGATGTTTTTCATTCAATTTTGGAGACTGCCAATACACTTGTGATCGATCCAAGTTATCTTCCGGCTTAGTTTTAGCTTGAATGTTCCCTTTCCAGCTCCTCAATGCTCCTTTGTTCTTTACTTCTACGCAGCATGGTCCCATGTAATCATGCAACTCACAGCACAGCAATTACATACAAACTCTTACTCGAGGCATCTCTTCCCTGCCTTCAAATAAAGGAGCATTGGCAGTCACGCCACTTTTGCTACACAACCAAAGATACTTGTTTTCAATAAATTGTCTTACGGTGCCATCTTATAGTATATACAAAAACATTTTCTAACAATAAAAGTTTGACTAGACCATATCCCTGATGATAAAAGTCAGCCAGAAATCCTCCAAAGTTACTCCATAGTACCATATCCAAGTGTGCAAAAATGGGTAATATTTTTTTAACTTTTTAAAAAGATTTTATTTATTTATTTTTAGAGAGGGAAGGGAGGGAGAAAGAGAGAGAGAGAAACATCAATGTGCCGGTTGCTGGGGGCCGTGGCCTGCAACCCAGGCATGTGCCCTGACTGGGAATCGAACCTGCAACACTAAAAAATGGGTAATATTTTTGATGAATTCTGAATTCACTAACTGCTAAAATCACAGGATATAAGACCTGGGTTGAACTTTTTCTTAAATAGTTTGCATGGGCAGACACTGGTGTCCCAGGCAGTTTCCTGTCTTGTCCAGTCCCTGGCGAGCAGAAAGCAGGAGGAGAGACTAAACACTGCCCGTGGTCCTTCTGGAGCCGCACTGCTCCCTGTTGCACATGACCATGGCTCGGAGGCAGACTGGTAACCCTCAGAGGACAGGGAGAAAAACTACCTCAGCCAGTGGCGGGCAGAAAACAGTCAGTGGACTGTCTCCTCGGGTGCTTCCACAGGGAAAAAAACGTGAAGGCGAATATGCCAAAGAAGTTCCTGAACCAAGAAGAAACAGTAATATAATTCCAAGTAGTAACCTACTCTTCAATGAAATACTCCTCCAAGAAAAAAAAACCTACAAGGTTTTTATTCTCAAGAGAAAAACAACACAACCACAAACTAGAACCTTGGGGGTAAAAAACAGATGAAATGAAAAACATTCTCTTGTCGCCATCCCCCATTTCAAGTACTTACTGGAAAAACAGAAGATCAAATACTGTATCTTTGATCATTTTGGAGTCTCTTACTTTCATTAAAACAGGGAATAAAAAAATTGCTAACCAATAAGCAAAAAAGAAGCAAAAATCCCTGGTAAAGCTCTACAGACATAATTACAAGTTTGTATTTTACTGAGAAAGATGGTTGAGGGAAAGGAAAACTAAGAAAAAAAAGATGGCTAGAAACTGGTGCCAAACCAAAGTAAAGGACGAAATCTTTGGTGCTTTTTCCAGGCTCCTGCGTTATAGCAGTGTTTCTTGATATTTTTCCAAGGAAAGACTGCTGTGAACTCTCCCTATCAGTCTGTTCACGGCTCCCCTTCCCTGTGTCTGTTCTGAGAAATGAAAGGAAAGCACAGTTCTGTCCAGCACCACATAGTGGACTAAGGGGTGGCAAGAGCCACCTGCTGTACTAGCTGGGGAGGGAGGAGACAATCACGTGGCTCTTTCTAGTTTTAACAAATATAAACGAGAAACAAGATCATTTGGCAGTTGTGTTTTAAGTTGCAGGTGTACAACTTACTTCATGAATTAAACCCCTTGTGGCAAATAAAATTAAGTCAGAATTTAAAAATAATGATATTTACTTAAAAGAAAAGTTGAAAAAGAAAATCTTCAAAACCAGAGAGTGCTGCTATGTTAAGGTCTCATGTGCATTTTTACCAAAGTGCAGTGTCACTAGGATTGTAGCTATTAACCGAAAACTTTGTAATATAAAGATGCTCGTGGAAACCAGTGAAGACAGGAAACAGGGGCAAGGACACAGCACAGGGAGCAGGTGCTTTGGAAGTAAGGCTCTGAGAAAGGAGGACACTGTTCCCAGGCCTGAGGTGGATGCGTGGCTAACTGTCTGGGCTCCAAGGGGGAAGAATACAACTGGCTGGATTTGGGAACAGGGCAACGCTGCAGCCTCCAATCAAGTCTCTAGTTTTCAATCCCAAGTGGGTACGCTCTCCAGATGTCAGCAAGGCCTCCTCAGGAGGATCTGCTCTCCGGCGTGTAGTAGTAACGGTACAGGAAACCTAGAAGAATAGCGCCGACAATGGGGAAAATCCAGTATGTCCAGCAACTAGAAGTTGGGGAAAAAAGCAATAAAGTCATGAACATTTATACCAAACGTTCACTATCTTCCAACATACACATTTTAATATTTTTGTGAACAAAGAGCTTTTATTTACTTTGGGAATTTTAACTGCTTCTATCACACACTAGTTAGAGAAGAACAAATATTTAGATTCGAGTGACAATGACAAATGGTAATTTTAAAAAGATTAAAAATAATGTACAGTATGCTACCAAAAAAAGATACATATATACACAAAACTTCGAATGTGTTTTGGCAAAATCAAAACACAAAGAACAGCATAGTGGTCCTTTCTGGGTTATGGGATTATGGATAGTTTAGATTTTTCTTTGTGCTTTTTCTGATATTCTACAATTAACATTTTTAAACACACAAAAAAGCCACCATTTATATATATTAGAAGTATTAGCTTCTAATATAACTATCAGCAATAACTTCCTCAAAAGTATTTTTTTTAATTTAATCCCCACAACAACCCTATGAAATAGGTTCTATTATTATTCTCATTTTTAACACAGGAAATACAAGCTTAGCTAGCACCCAAGATCACAAAGCAAAGTTAGTCAAGCAATGGATTCCAAACCCATCCACTTAATCTCTAGTAAAGTTTGGGTACTAATGTTAGTACAGACACATGTGCGCACACACAGAATGATGCTGAGAGTTTTGATAAAGTGAGATAAATGGCAGTTGGCTTAAAAAGTCCTGTAAGAGAGTTTCCTTAGGTGTTTCAGAACAGTTATCATTCTCCTTCAAGTTATTCTACTTCTCTGATAGAGCTTATCAGTGCTGCTAGCTTGAAGGAGTAATTCCATGATCCAAATGATCTGGCTGCCCTTCTACTTAAGACATATGCAGTTTTGGTATTAAAAGGTTTTGAAGCCAACAAAACCAGATTCAATAATAAAAATGATTTTCTTTGCCTAAACATGACTAGCACTTTGCACATTTATGGCAAAAGCTGCTCTAAACAAGTTTCGAGTATCAGCCAGGTAGCTTTTTTTTATTTTTGAAGCAAGTTGGCATGTACGGTGGCAATATGATACGTGGGAACTATGAAGTAAACTTCTCATAAAAGTCATGAATTCAGATATCTTGGAGAGTAACCACAAGACACAAAAGGGCTCAAAAGTAGGATTCTTGAGAAAACAATGAAGAGAAATTCTTCAGTACAAAAGACCGAGGATGGTTGACTACCAATCCTCATATAATCCTTGGTAATACAATATTTAACTGCCACTGAGACTAGAACCAGAGGAAACACATTTACACTGCACCGAGGGGGATTCAGGTTCAACAAGAACTTCCTGGCCGTAAGACAGAACTCTCTTCTTGGAGAGTCATTCAGGTTACTGCGTGTAGTTGTGATTCAGTTATTTTTATCGATTTGCAGCATTCCACTATACAAATATACCAGAATGAATTCATTCAGTTTATTAATGAATGGTTATTTGTGTTATTTCCCATATTTTAAGATCCTAAATAATGCTGCTATGAACACTCCTGTTTGTGTTTCCTGATGTACTTGTGCACACATTTCTCTTGAGTATATCTCTAGAAATGGAATTGCTGGGTCAAAAGTTATTCATATTGTCATATTTAATGGATAATGCCAAACAGTTTTCCCAAGTGACTGTACCCATTTCTAGTCCCCTAAGAGGGTCTAAGAATCTTGGTAATCTACTTCCTAAACAACTCCTCTGATTTCTAAAATTAAAAATTTTTGCCAGTCTGGTTAGCGTGAAATATACCCAAAGATTTTAACCATCACCTCTCTGATACCAAATGAAATTAAACCTTTTTTTAATATGCTTATATTTGTGTTTCCTCTTCTATAAGGTGCTTAAGTCATTTTCTCATATTCTACACTAAGTTATTTTTTAATAGATTTGCAGGAATTCTTTATGTATCTGCATAATAATTTTCTTATTCAGTTTGAGCTGTAGCAAAAGTATTGCAACTTTAAGGCTTATATTTTCAAATTCTTTATTAAGCATAAGTTCTTAATATTAAGAAAGCTGAACTTACTGTTTCTTTCAAGTTTGCACTTTTCTAATACTCTGTCCCTCGCCTCAAATAAAAAAAGACATGACACTTTTATGAGGAGAAAAGACACATTTTTTCTCTCTCTCTCTGAAATGCTTTAAATAGGACCTCAGAAAGACAAAACAGGCAGCTCTACATAATCTCTATACGGGTTTTTTTTTACAAGCCAAGGATTCTATAGTCCTCTCAAGTAGAAGCACTAAAGGAATGGTACATTGAATCCTTTCAGAGCTGTAGTACTGATACTAGTGCAAGAGGTATTTTGTAAGTAACCGTTAAGAGAAAACCCACATTCTTGAACATAACTTAATATATAATATTTTCTTCTATAAATGTAGTAATAGTACCTACCTTATAGAGTGATAGTGAGGAGAAACGACATTAAATTTTAAGTGACAGTTACATAGCTGAGCTGAGCTGCAGAGGCTGGGCTTGACTCAATAGTAGTTACATGTCTGTCCATGCATACCAGCCTCTTACTGAGTGTGATTCCAATTTGATTTGAAAATTACTCAAGGCATGAACCTTTGAGATTAAAACTGTAAAAATTAATTTTGCTAATGCTAAGGAACTTCTGAATTTGCAGTAATTTTAGCCAAAACAGAATTAGCTGTCAAACCGCACTCTTAAGCTACATCATATGTATAGATTTATGGGAGAATCTCTTGTCAGATGTTATGTTGAGCATAATGAAGTGCATTAAGAGGATACTAACCTTTTGCAGGTGCTATTTTTTGAAGGGTCCTGGAGAAGATGCATATTCAAAAATGACAAACAAAAAGAATAAAGATTAACACAGAGCACATAAATGTTCTTGAATATCTATATAACCCCTGTAGCTAATAACAGAACTTCACCTTTCATGCAATTTGAGGTATACAAATCTATATGTGATGTGAGTACCGGGAATTCTATTTCTGATAATATACTGGTATTCCCTAGTGAAGAACCATTAATGAAAGCACAAAGAAATGACTCAAACATCTTTTAGAGGTAAAAAAAAAAAAATGCTACTGATACAAACTATATTGAAATAGACTAATTTGTAGTCACAATGATATGCCTGGTTCAGTAGGGCTTACCACTGGCAGTAGCTAGGATCACATTTTCTGAAAACATATTTTAAAAATAATGTCTTGACTTGTAATGTATAGATTAACTGAAATGACTTGGCTTATTCTCTGAAATCATTATAAGTATGATTAGAGACCTTAAAGCTCATTTCACAATGGAAACGGGGAGAATGTGATTAAGGGAAAGAAAATGCCGAAAGAGCCTTAAAAACAAAATTTTGGCATAAATTAGTGAACTGGATAGGCTCTGAATTATATCTTTAAAAAACTATTACTAAATATTTAAAATTCAATTAAAGTAAATATCAAATGAAGTTACTGATTCCATTAATTAAATGGATAGTACCAAATACCTGCTAACTTACTGCCAGAGGACAATAACCCACTAAATACAGGTTACTGCTACCCAAAATACCATCTCTGCCAATATGTAGATATTCTCCAGGGTGTGAACACAGAATATTAACTCTGTTGACCACCATTTTCAGTAACATCCCAGAATTTTTAAAAACCCTACATAGTGGCCTAGATACTTGAGAGCAGATCATGAAATGAGTTTTAATTTCATATATCCAAAACACTATCATGCAAATGAATGCATGCCCCAAACCTGAAAGAAATTAGCCTATAGGCAAGTAAAACTTCTAATAAAAATTTTTAGATGAACCATTATTACATACTACACTTCATTGAGACCTTGATGATTACTGTCATCTGGGATATATCCACTAGAATAGCACATCCTGGGCTAATTAAAACATGTACAGGTCAATCTTTGGGAAATAAAATGAATGTTTACAGATCTGGAAGATGGTGGTAGTGGTGATGGGTGTGCATCAGTTTATAATGTTGCCTTTTTAAATATTCCACTATGGTAGCTAAGAAATAATTGCATTTCATCAAGACAATGTTCATGGCCTTTTATGCTTTTTCCACATATATAAAATGATTTACAGAAAAGAAAATGTAAATTTAGTATTTTTTAAAAATTTTTATTTACTTATTTTTAGAGAGGGAAGGGAGGGAGATAGAGAGAGAGAGAGAAACATCAATGTGCGGTTGCTGGGGCTTATGGCCTGCAACCCAGGCATGTACCCTGGCTGGGAATTGAACCTGCGACACTTTGGTTCGCAGCCCGTGCTCAATCCACTGAGCTACGCCAGCCAGGAAATTTAGTATTTTTAAATGGGATGATCTGAAAGGTTTACCTGACAGCACTATGAAATAAAATATGTATTATGATGTTTAATCTGCATCACATTGAAAGCCATATATACAGCCCTGGCTGGTGTGGCTCAGTGGATTGAGTGCTGGCCTGCTAACTGAAAGGTCACTGATTTGATGCCCAGCTAGGGCACATGCCTGGGTGGCAGGCCAGGTCCCCAGTTGGGGGCATACAAGGGGCAACTGATCATCTCTTGCACATTGATGATTCTTTCCCTCTTTCTGCCTCCCTTGCCCTCTCTCTAAAAATAAATAAATAGCCCTGGCTAGTGTGGCTCAGTGGTTGAGTGTTGGCCAGAGAATCAAAGGGTTGCTGGTTCAATTCCTAGTCAGGGCATATGCCTGAGTTGCAGACCATGTCCTCAGTAGAGAGTGCGTGAGAGGCAACGACACACTGATGTCTCCTTCCCTTTCTCTCTTCCTTCCCCTATCTAAAAATAAATAAATAAAATCTTTTAATAAATAAAATCTTAAATAAAAATATATACATAAAAATAAAAGCTATACATACAATTCATATAAATGGATTCTCTAGGTTTCAAAGCTTTTAGCCTTTTTTACTACCAAAAGCCCTGGACATATGCTAACTAAAATGAGCCTTAGAAAATATAATGAACAAACTGGGAGAAAGAAAGAGGGAAAGAGAGAAATCAGAGAGAACCAAACCATAAAATGCTGAAATTGTAATAGTTGCTAATAAGCAATAAAAAATTAAAACATACATGTATTTTAGCTAAATACTTCAATGCCTATTTTAAGATCTATCCATCCCTAGAGTCAAAAAGACGAACTTCCCTAACATAGGAAGAAAGAGAAGAGAAAGAAGCATGTCTTCTCTTCTCTTTAGGATACTGACAACCAAGTAATTGCCAAACTACAGTGACTCTGCTGTCAACCAACTATAATGAAAGAGTTATTAAGACACTGTCCCTAGTAGCCAAATATATCAGCCAAGTTTGGAAAGAAGCTGAACAAGTTATTTTTAAATTTACAAAATTAAAAACAAAAAGGTTCTATTAACACAAAACCTTCCTTCACCTCCACCCTTCCGTCCTCTCTGTACACAGTCCTCCCATTCTCATTTCCATTTCAAAGCCCTGTGCTGAATCTAACTGATGTTTAAGTGAAATTCCTACAGTTTATGATTGACTTTAACTTATCCCTTTGGTTGTTCAGGCATATCTGGCTGGTTATGTTCTTGCCCACATTTACATTTACATGCAAGATTTCTGGTCAAGAGAACAGTAACTGCTCTCGATACCTGGCCTGGAAAGTAGTAACTGTAATACTGTATGATTTTAGTTCCAAGAAAGCAGATCAGATACAGAGTTCTTACCAAATAACTAATATGCTTGTTTCCTTATTCTCCAAGGAGTTTGGGATACACTTCCAAACAACCAAACTGCTGTAAGCCTACTCTGATTTTAGTTCAAAATTAATAGAAATTAATTGTTTAAATATATTGGTTCCTAAAGTTAAAAGTTCATTAAGACTTTAATGCCCTTGTAGAATAAGTAAGTAAATATATTAATATACACATAAATACCAAACCTGAACTTTGCAGGATAAAAGTAAATATTTCATAATATCTGAGTAACCTTTTCGTAAAGCTGCCCATAACTAAAATTATGTCTAAGATCTTCAAACTCAATGCTAAATTAGTTTCCTCACTTGTAAAATAAAAGGCTCAGACCAGATGAACTTGAATTCTAAAGTCATATTCAATTAACTCAACATAATTTTCTGACCCAAGGGCGTTTTAGCAAAACCTACAAAAGCAGCTTTCTAAAGGTTAGAAGAGGAGACCCCATTCCCTGACGTCTAGGAAGATTGGAAGAGCTCTACTATATGTAGACTTTTCTATCTTACACCAGGTATATAGAGGTGTTCTTCTAGATACTCTGTCAAGAGGCACTGTGCCCTTAAATTCTGACCCTCTTTGATACTGTTAAATGAATAAAGAAATGTCATAATTGACAAATATATGAGTGGGGACTTGGGAGGTCAGCTTTCACTATGGAACCCTGTTTATGAGAAAACATAGGAGAAGAACACACACACACTTAAAAAACAGTATACTCTGTCACCAGGACATAAACATAAGAAACAATGTGCCAGAATTATGATTACAATTCATTAAAATATACAAAAGGGGTATTATAAGTGTACGTTCAAAATGGGAGGGAGGTGGGAAAATCTGGGGGGGGTTGGGCTGGGATGGGAGTAAAAGAAAGAAAACTGTACTTGAACAACAATTAAAATAAAAATTAAAAAAAATTATTTTAATTAAAAAAAAAACTATTCAGCCTAAATAGTTTATATTTAGACTTTCAAGTGTTTAAATAAAATAGATATATATTATAAGGAACTTACATTTCATTTCCTCCATTGGGTGTTTGCTAGTCCAAGAGGATTTTAAGTATTTAAAATTAGAAGTGGATTTTAAGCCACAGGACACCTTCAGCAAATTTAATGAGCATTTGGGTGGTCTGGTAGTTTTTATAGGTTTTTATTTAGAACATGTTGGTATCTACGTGGCCAGTACTTATGAAAAACAGCTTGGGTACTTTTGGCTTCAAAGACTACCGGAGAGGATTTTTTCCCCCGTAATAAAAGAAACTTTAGCATGAGCTATCACTACATGAATTTTAATACTAGGTTCATCTTATGACCAAAAAAGTTTAAGTACTGAAAGTACATGATTTCAACACTTTACAGTCCCAATGATGACACAGCCATGCAGTCTGGATCTTGAGGACAGCCTTCTCATGAGGCTCCGATGCACTAACATTTCTTTCTGGCTGAGATTACTGCTTAACAATTACTGTCTTGCAAAGCATATATCCCTAGAGTCGGCCCAGCCATGGCAAACATATCTCCCTGTAGATAAGCACAAAATTCAAGGATGAAAAGCATCCTCTCAAATAAATTTATACACGACTCTCTCAAGAACCCACTGGGATACAATATATAAGACATCACTGAAGAAAAAAATTAAAACACTCATAGGATGTTTCCTGCTGGGAACTAAGAAATGAAAAACTTGCTACAACATTGAGGACTGATTTAAAAATGGATGTTACCTTGTCCTCTGACATTATGTTTTGCAAAACTGTATGTCATTTCTAAATGGAACGTTACAAGAAGACATTAATCCCTGAGATCCTTTAGCAAAAAGGACATTTTGTCTTTCTTTCAAGAGTGATTTTGCCATTACATTCTATGCTTTATTTCAAAAGATTATGTTACAAAATACAAATGTTAGACAAAAAGAGGGAACAAAATAACTGACAAAATTCTTTGGTAGATGGCAACCACTACTCATCTAAAGGGCATTTACCTCCCCATTCCAAACTTTAATAAATTAGGTTGTATGACAGGACTATTAAAGAATTCTTAAAAGTAAATGTTTAGTATCCGGGACCAACTAACTACACTACATAAACAATGTATTCTTTTTAGTTTCTCTCCCATAAGAAAAAGTAAACTGAATATGTTATTCGTGGGTAATACCTTACGTATACGTAATAGAAAACTGTTATTATAACAGAAGTAAGTAGCATCTGAGAGAAAAAATGTATCTGCCTTTAAATACAATGTTTGGATTACTTCTAATATTATGAAAAATATCATAGATATCAAAAGTTAAACTTAAAAGTGAATTTAAAAACTGTTTAAGTCTTTATGGAGAAATCTTACCTGTTTTTTAAAAACATCAAATCCTGTTACAGCAAATGTCATCTCATTAAAACTTTTGTCTATCAAATACTAAATATCTATTAAAAAGAATGAAGAACGTCTTTATGAACTGATAAGGAACAATCACTACTATCAAATTTTTAAGTAAAAAGAAGCAAGGTGCAGATTAGTACTATGAGATTTTTTTAAGAAAGGGACAGCGGCTCTGCCTATCTATTAACTGAACAATCTATCTACCCATCTCTCCATCTATCGACCTGCCTACCTATTTATATTCATGTATGAACAGGATATCTTTAGAAAAGTAAACAAGAAAATGGTAGTAGGCTACCTCTGGCTAAGGGGAACTAGGAGAATGAGAGTTGGAGATTGGAGGAAGTCATTTTTATAGTATATTTTATCTTAGCTTTTTTTTTAACCATGTACACCATATACTACCCATTCAAGAAACATAAATAAAAAATGGTCAATTTATTGGGTCTATTCATTGTAATGAGATTTGACTAGTGAAGTAGCTGAACTGTCACCTAGGCAATATCTGTTGAATGAATGAATGAAATGGTGCCCACTTTTTTGGTCAGGATAGCATTTGTATGTCCTTTATCCCCTAAACTGATGGTCGAGATAAAACAGTAAATCAGGAAGTAAATGCATACTCGAACAAGAGATTTCATGAACCATAAAGGTGTCTAGGTTACTTGCAGTAGAGTAGGCATGCAGGCAGGCAGACTGGCACAGAAAAAACTAAGTCTATTTCCAAGGTGTTTCCATAACCAAAAGCAGATCAGGACAACAACGTTAAGTCAAATATGAATATAAGGTTGATGGCTCCAGCAAGGAAGAGAGTCATAGAGACAATAAGGTTTTTTTAACTAGTTAGTTATCTTTAACTGAAGCGGGTAAGAAAAACATCTACTGCCAGGTATTTTCTAAGCTTTTCATTTTCAGGGCCTTGAACCTCAGACATTATCAGTCTCAGAAGAAAACAATGGTGACCATTAATTGTTTACCTGTATCATAGCAAAAGCAATATGAAAAGTAGTTTCAAAAAACTGGAGAAAGGTTCCTGATTCATACTCTGAAACAGCCATGTTTGGGTGTTTGTTGTCATTAGTTGTTGGGGAGAGGGAGTTTCCAGCTGGGAAGAGATATGGAACTGCGGAGGGAGGAGAGGAGAAGAGGAGAAATAGAAGAAGGGGAGGAGAAGGAAAATGGTAACTGTACTATAATGCAGGCTTTTTAAAAAATCACTTATTCACAGAGGTTCAGAAACCCTTAACCAAAAGAAAGTATTAATAAAATTAGTATTACATCCATTTCTTCATGGTGAATATTTAAACCAGGACAAAAAAAAAATTTTAAAAAGAGACCCCTACATCCTAGACACAGAAGTGCCTATTTAAAAATTTCTGTAAGAAATAAACCTGAGGGGCCAAGAATTTTTTCCTGGACCTGAAATCAGGTTCAACTACAGCTCTGTGACAACCTATGTAGGTGGTCTTGAAATTTTTCCAAAAGGCTTCGCTTGCCTGATCCGTCTGAAGTACGGCAGTGTGATGGGAAACACGCAGCTGCCAGACTCTCTACTGCACAGAGCCTGTCCTTTGGGCACAACATTCATGAGGAAAACAGATACATAAAAACCCTGCCTTTAATCACTGCTTAACTCAGGCAGGGGCCAAACTACATTTGGAGACTTCTAAATTATTATAGAATGTGATGAGCTGAAAAGGTTTCTTATTCTGTATTTATTACAACAAGTCCAAGGCTCAACGGTTTTAATTTAAGACATCTCTAATTAATTTTTTGCCCTACAGAAAGCAGACAGAGCTTTTCACCAAAGAGAATTCAAGTTTCCTAAGTTTCAAATGAAAGACCAATATATCATTTATCAGAAAGTCTGGTGCTTGGCTACCTGGGAATTCAAATGCAAATTCCCAAGTCTTACTTCCAGAGATTATGAATCAGTAGTAATGGAAGTACAGGAAACATACATTTCAGAAAACATGCCAAGGGACTCCAATACATGTGGCACAAGGAGCAGAATTTGAAAATCACTACTCTCCCCCTCCTAGAATGGTCTTAATTACATACTGTACTACTAAGGAAGAAAAAGAGTGACAAAAGGCAATTTGTAGACTTCTTGACATTATAATTTGAAAAATATTTTTTCTATTGTTTTAATATAAAGAGTGCTCTCAACGGTTGCTGTCAGAAGCAGACTGTGGCCCCAGATACAAACGCATCTCTTCTACAAATGGGACTATCCCTTGAACCAAATGTTGACCTTTTGAGAGTCGTGTTTCCTGAACATGTTCAATAAACAAGACCAGGCTTACTTCAAGTTTTCTCTTAATTACAACGAGTGAGGATTTAAGAATGGGTAGTAACGTATTAGGAGGGGAGGACAAAGAAACCAACAGTGCTCACAAAGCATTTAAAGAACAATTTCATCCTCCTTCATAAACAATTCAACAGTTCAGAGTAGCAGAGTGTAGCAAGACAGAAGAGTGAGTTTACACACTCTGGATTGCAGGGCAACAGACAGCAGATGCTGTCAAGCAATCTGGAGTTAAAAGAATTCTTGTGTCTAGGCCGACTTTAATTGCTGTGTTTTAAACGTGTTCAGTAATTGTAAGTCAGTGAGGAAAAGGAAGCAAGAAGCTAGAAAGGAGGAAAAAGGGAAGGAACGTCATCACTTCCACTATGTTCTAGGAAGCAACTACACTGCTACTCCTTTAAATCGGGGGTAGTATAATAGTTATCTGATGGACAGAAGTCAAGGAAAATTGTGAGGGAATAAGGGAGATGAACCACCCAGCTTGCGGGAAGCAAAAAAAAGTCTCCCGTATTTTCTTCCTGGTACATTATGCAGTACACATTAAGGTTTTCAAATACTCTTCCATTTATGCTGTATCACTAAGCAAATGGGAAGGGTGCAGGCCCATTTGAGCCTACACAATAAAAGGATTAAATTTGGAAATAGAGACAGAAAGGCCTGTTCTACTCAATTACTTCAGTCTACAACTCCTAAGACTTCTAAGAGAAAAAAATAGACTTTCCATTTTTTTCCAATATAAAAGCAATTATTATCACCTGTACTATTTAATGTAAGAATAATAAATACTTTTCTACAACTGAACCCATAAACTAATTTCTTTCAAAATCATACAGGGCATGGCTTTAGAGTTTCAATTTGAAAAGAAATGTAAATAGGAACATGAACAAATGCGTCCTACTGTTCAAGACTCAGCTATTCTTTTTTCCTGAGATGGTACTGAGTCCAAATTCCTGAAAAACAGGATTTCTGCTTGGGGGAAAAGTAAACACTTTTCTTGTTAAGATAGTTTTTTAAAAAGCAATTCTATTTGAGTAAATAGAAATATAAACCCTTGAAACACACAAGAGAAACAGACGGCTTCTTACCTTGCTCCCACTTTCAGGTTTAAGGTCATTCTGTTAAAAGAGGAAAACAATATTTTAAGACATATCCAAATGCATGCTCACTATGCGTTTGTTTCCAACCTTGCAACATGAGACTACATTCTGACAGAAGTGAATTCCCTGAGAGAAGGCAGGATCTGCAGAAGGGTATTGCCCTTCCACCACCCCATACCCGACTCTGAGCATATCCAAGTCTCTTGTTAGATGATGGTTTAAAAAAGTACATAGTTACCACCTTTAGAAAGGAATTAAGTAGAGATGTTATGAAGTGCATTACAAAATTCAATCAAACAAAAAAAAATCCAAAATCAGTTTCCTTAGCTTTTCAAAGATATTGCATGTGATGCTTTATAAACAAGAAGCCGTATTTTATTAGCACAGTAAGGCTAGATAATTTTGGAGAAAATTTAGCCTGACAGCTGGACTGAATGAATTTCCATTGCTCTGTGGCTGTTCAGGAGCTTTCATGTCTATAAGCACTCCTAGCTTAGCTGGTTCTTACCGGATGCACGTCACCAATGTAGTACTGCTTTAGCATTTCTCTGGCATCAGAGGAGTGGCCTACATCTTCAAAGCTTTCACTTGCATCTGCACCAGCTTGTTCCAGCAGAACCTCTTCTCCGCCAGGATGCTACAAGGAAAAGATACTTATTGAACAGAGGGCTCCTTGAAAAGTAAACCAATAAAAGTTACTTTCCTCTCCCCCTCCCTTTTCTCTTTTCTCCCTTTAATGTGTGAGTAATGGAACCAACAGACATTGCATGCCACCTGATAGGACGTAATCAGGAGAACACAAAGTAACCTCTGTGATATTTAGGCCAAAAATGCACTATGTGAGCATAATTGTGAAGAAAACCCTAGAACAATCGCAAATAGAGAGAGCCTAGAAAACAACTGACCTGGGATCTCCAAAAGTATCAGTCATGAAAGTTAAGCAAAAACTAAAGAACCATTCCAGACCGAAGGAGCTAGAGACAAAAACCAACTGGGAACGTGTGCTCCTGGGTCAATCCCTTTTGCCAGCATTACTGAGATGGCTACAGAAACCTGAATGGAGATTCTGGGCAAAGCATACATGAAATCCTTTATTCTATTCTTGAAACTTTTCTGTAAGTCTGAAAGTTAAATAAATAAATAAGTAGTACCAAAATAACTACCTCTAAACCTAAGAAGTAGATTCTATCTATAACTTACAAGCCATATCATCACCCTGGACAAATTAAAAAATAGAAGTATCTTTGTTTCCTTATTTGTAAGATGGAGATAATGAGTACCTATCTTAACTACTATTGTATGAAATGAGATAAGGTTATGAAATACGTTGTATTCAAGAAGAGAGAGGTGCAGTTTGTATAATATGCTATCATCTGCGATTTTAAAAAGCAGATACATATATGTGTACATATGCATAAAATCTCCCTGGAAACACTGATGAGAATGTGGTAGCTGGGATAGAGGGTGGGAGAAGACTTTAAACTACATTTTTGGAAATTGTTTTACCAAGTAAAGTATTACCTACTCAAAAAACAAATACTTTTTTAGAAGTTACATTTGGCACAGACCCTGACCTAAAGTAAACATTCAATAAACATTTACTTGTAACTAGCAAATACAGAATTTACATTATTTGACATGTCCAAATTTGTATTTTTGAACTATCAAATAATGCTCTGAAGTAGTTCCTTCTGATAACAACCTTTTAAGCAGAACGAATATGACCATCCTTGTCTTAAAAATGAATTCAACCAAAGCATACCTATGTTCAACCTCCCAGTCATAGTCACTGGCTTGTGAGCTCCTGAGGATAAGAATTACTTCTCTTTTGTCTCCTAAAAGGTCTCCAGCCAGGGGGTGGGTCTCCCATCCCAGTATGTAAGCATGCTGTTCTGAAGCAAGAGTAAGAGAGCCACCACTCACCTGCTATTACACCTGAAACTTCTCATTAGTTCTGGAATTGTGTCCCAATTTGCTCTACATACCTAAACTACAAAAGATATTATTTTTTTCTTTATGATATATCCAACTGTTCTGTTGCTTTTCAGAGTAAAAGGAGAACAAAACTTCTTAGTAGCTTGAAATATTTCAGGGAATGATTAAGTTTATGACTTTTTACGGAGCTCTTTCTATGAAAAAATATTTTATTTTCATCAACCTCTCACCACTTATAGACAAATAAATACAACTAGAAATAAATATAACATTTTTAGTGTGTAAAATCCATTGTTTTCCTATTATCCATTCAATCACCTCAAATATTATTCCATAAACTTTATTGGTACTTATTATTTTACACACCAGGTAGTGATTAATAAAGTGAGAGAAAAGTTGTGTTTTTACAAAAGTGAATTCACACAGTACATACTGTTTTATAATCTCCTTTTTTTCACTGAGGCGGGGGGTCAGAGTGGTCAAAAACCTCGACATTTAGTAGCTCCAAAATGTGGTCTTAATACAGATGGTTCAGAATAGGCAAAAAAAGATTTCAAGGAACCTTTGATTTCTGTTTTAGAATTCTGTAAACTTCACTCTTGTTTAAAATGAAATGGCATCCCAGCTGAGGGCAGTGTACTAGGCCTAGGCATGTCCTGGGACTAGATTATGCCCAGGCTGAGGGGCATGAAAGGGCCTTAAGGAGACCCTGACAGGATGAAGGAGAAAAAAGCCCAGCTCACCAGGGAGGAAAACGCCTCAGGGCCCTGGCCCAGCTGGCTCTCAGTGCAGACAGAGCGTGGGAGACGCTACTCTACTCCAACATCAGGCTCTGGGGGGTCCTGGCCATCTTTACCATCACCTTCGTGGGAATGACCCACCACTACGTGTCCATCCTGCTATACAGCAACAAGAAGGTCACCCAGAAGCAGATTATCTGACAGATAGGTCCTAATCTGAAGCACAGTCAGGTCAAATGGAAATTATATTCCCAACCAATCCTTCATGATGTGAAAATATGACTTCATCAACCCAGAGGGCAGATTCAAAAATAAATAAAGGGGAAACAGTACCACCTTCTCCTTAGTGATCCCCTGATACTCAACTGACATAATGAAAGAGAAATAACAAATGTCATCCCCATGATTCTTACTGGTGAATGGATCAGCATGACATTCTCAGGCTGTGTCACAACCAAAGTCATATTTCCACTAACCCTATTTTAAGCCTATGCTATAGCAAGGAATCAAACCTCACATTAACTGCATCCTGGTACTTCTGCTATGTATTTGGACATCAGAGCATTTCCTCTCTGATTCTGGGCCAAAATAATGCCAGTGACCAATCAGAAACGATGCATAAGCCATGACTGGAGCAGCCATGTCCATATCTGCAGACAACAACAAAGCTTTCAAGAAAAACTGGGAAGTTTTGGAGCTAATCGATCATGAGTGAGCACTAAATTTTGTCAAAGAGGAGCTCATGATCAAAGATACTCGACTTGAAAGCACGTTCAAAAAAAGAATTACAGAGCTGTGCTGTGGCACGGCATGTGCGAGCGGCCACCGCCTGTACCACCCAGCTGGCCGCAGGCAGGGAAATGCTACATTTCAGTTTGAAATTAGTGAAAAATCTTCATTTACAAGATAGCTTGAGAGCCCATGGGCCTTGGGGAAAGAACACCTCACTTAGGCTCTGTACAGATTAAGAGACTTCGGCCAAGATGGAGGCATAGGTAAACAAGCTTAGCCTCTGCACACAGCTACAGCAAAAATTACATCTAAACTACAATACAAACATCACCCAGATTCATCAGAAAATGGAGCTGTATGGAAATCCTACAACCAAGGATTTAAAGAAGCCACATTCATCCAGATAGGTGCCTTTTCTACAATAGGCCATACTACTAAGACAGGGAGTCAAAGCAGCTCTACCTAATACACAGAAACAAACACAGGGAGGCTGCCAAATTGAGGAGACAAAAAAATATGGCCCAAATGAAAGAACAAAACAAACTCCAGGAAAAGAACTAAATGAAATGGAGAAATAAATGAAAAAGACCTATCAGATACAGAGTTCAAAACACTGGTGATCAGAATGATCAAGGAAATCACTGGGCACTACAGCAGCATAAAAAAGACCCAGGCAGAAATGAAGGTTGCATTAAGTGAAATAAAGAAAAATCCACAGGGAACCAACAGTGGGGGGGATGCAGCTGAGATTCAATTCAACGATTTGGAATATAAGGAAGAAAAAAAGCATTCATTCAATCAGAACAGCGAGAAAAAAAGAATTAAAAAAAAAAGGAGAACAGAATAAGGAGCCTCTGGGACATCTCCAAAAGGACCAACATCTGAATCATAGGGGTGCCAGAAGGAGAAGAGGAAGAGCCAAGAAATTGAAAACTTATTTGAAAAAAATAATGAAAGAAAACTTCCCTAATTTGGTGAAGGAAACAGACATACAAGCCCAGGAAGCAGAGAGAGTCCCAAACAAGTTGCACCCAAAGAAGACCACACCAAGACACAGCATAATTAAAATGCCAAAGATTAAAGATAAAGAGAAATTCTTAAAAGCAGCAAGAGAAAAGCAGAGCGTTACCTACAGGAGAGTTCCCGTAAGACTGTCAGCTGATTTCTCAACAGAAACTTTGCAGGCTAGAAGGGACTGGCAAGAAGTTTCAAAGTGATGAAAGGCAAAGACCTACAACCTAGAATACTCTATCCAGCAAAGTTATCATCTAGAATTGAAGGACAGATAAAGTGCTTCCCAGACAAAGTAAAACTAAAGGGGTTCATCAACACCAAGCCATTACTATATGAAATGTTAAAGGGTCTTATTTTTAAAAAAGAAGTCAAAACTAAACACTAAAATGGCAACAAATGCACAACTAACAACTGAATCTAAAAAACAGACTAAGCAAACAATTAGAACAGAAACAGAATCACAGATATGAAGATAATTTGGAAGGTTATCCAGTTTGGAGGGGGAAGAAGGAGAGTGGAAGAAAAGGTGCAGGGATTAAGAAATACAAACTGCCCTGGCTGGTATAGCTCAGTGGATTGAGTGCAGGCTGTGAACCAAAGGGTCACTGGTTCAATTCTCAGTCAGAGCACATGCCTGGGTTGCAGGCCAGGTCCCCAGTGGGGGCCACGTGAGAGGCAACCACACATTGATGTTTCTTTCCCTCTCTCCCTCCCTTCCCTGCTCTCTAAAAATAAAATCTTAAAAAAAAAAAGATTAAGAATAGCATAAGAAATGGAGAAGCCAAGAGCTTATATGCATGACCCATGGACATGAACTAAGGGAGGGGATCGCTGGAGGGAATGGAGGTACCAGCTGGAGGGAGACAAAAGGGGAAAATTGGGACAACTGTAATATCAAAATCAATAAAAGATATTTAAAGAATAAAAATACATAAATAAATAAAAGAATTACAGACCTCTATTTTTTTGAAGACCAAGTAGGGATTATCCTGTTGAGGACTTGGAGTAGCCCATAACCTTGTAACTTTTGTTTGAGCTGGAGCCTCTCAGAATTAAAAGGAGAATGCATGTGTTGGTGGGCATGCAGCAAGGATCCTTCTCATCTGAGCTGGGCTCCACTTTGTGTTTGAAACTAGAGGAAATGAGGATTGTGTGCTGGGTGACATACACGGAAAGAGCTATTTTTAAAAAATCTTTTAAAATTGCTTTCTGGTGA